CCTGTGCGGGGAGAGACAGGAGCAGGCGTCACCATGGTGGGTGCCCCCCACAGCCCCTACCCAGGCTGGGGTCCCACGGAACAGCCCTGCATCACCCTTCCACCAGCCCTGCAGAGCCAGCGCCGGGTCGCAGCTCCTCTCCTCCTCACCCTGAGCTGCCTGTGTGCCGCTGCCACCGTTTCCCATGCCGGCTGGGGAGCCAGGCCAGGGAGGAGGCCGGCATCCCGCTGGCCCCCATCACCAGGGAGACAGAAACCCGATAGCGCAGCCCAGCCGCCTGCTCCCGACATCCCTGGGCTGCCAGCAGCTCCCAGCCCCACTCCCTGGGGAGCAGCTGCCCACAGCAGCCACCGGCACCCACCACTCATCCCCAGCACGTCCCCGCTGCTGCCCCCGGGGGCAGAGATGCAACGGCCAAAAGCCACCGAGCGCAGACCTGCGGCGCGTCCGGACCCACCGCCACGTCGCCCGCAGCCTCCCCGCGCCCCTGGCTGGGGTGCCCCCTGCCCAGGCTGCCCCGTCCACCCGGCGCAGCACCGATGTGCCTGTCACTCAGGGGACAAGCTAATAGTGGCAGGCGCAGAGCCTGGCCAGGACGGCGTGCCACCCAGGCTGCGTCACCCCCTGGCACCCAGCGGCTCCCCCGTGGCAGCCGGCAGCGCCTCGGCGCCCAGAGAGATGTGGAGCAGCCTGCCCCTGTGATCTCGTCTGGTCCCGTGGGGCAGAGAGGGACCACATGGGGACCACGCGGGCAGCAGCCGCGGGATGCTCCACAGTTGCAGGATGCTCTGCGGCCACGACACCTCCCCACGTCCCTCCTCTTGTTCCCCAGCTGCGGGGAGCGCTGCCTTCCCAGCACACACGTGGCATGAGGAGGCTGCCAAGCTCCTCTCCCCGTGCCAGGGCGTGCCGGTCGGGGCAGGGAGAAGGGCTGCCCGCCCACAGGCTGCTGCCGCGGGTTCGGACATCCCCGGGAGCCGGGCACGGCGCCGGACCTGGGCGCAAGCGCTCATCCCATCAGCCCCGCAGACAGGCAGACACAGCAAGATAAGCAGCTGGCGAGATGGAGGACTGCAGCCGGGGAAACGGCCTTCGCAGCCTCCGCATGACCACCCCAGCACGTAAACACCAGTTCCAAGGCAGCCGGGGGGGAGTCCCGCACACCCTGCATCCCCGGCATGGGCCGACGAGTGATAGCTCTGCCACAGCCAGGCTGCGCAGAGGCGGGAGCCATGCCTCACTGCCCTCACAGTTACCCTCTTCCAAGGTGATATTAATCATTAACTAACACCAGCACAGCTGCCGTGCCGAGTCAACGGCCGGCACATCCGTGGCTGGGCACGAGCCCCGCTCCCTAGTGCGGCAGCCCAGGCAGGATGGGGCTGGGAGAGCATTGTGTGCCGGGAAGGCTGGCGGCGCAGGACAGGGAGTGCCCTGGCATCCCCACCGCCCTGTCTGGGATGAGGTGGGGTCACCTACTTGCTGACAGTCCGTAGAGAGCCGCTGGGCTCCTGCCCCCCGCTGGGATCATGCTCTTCATCCACTTGGCCTCGGCAGGGTGGTTGAAGCGGAGGAAGGTGGCCTGGCCCAGGCAGATGGTGCACCCTGGGGAGAGAAGGAAGAGGGCTCAGCCACCGGCTGGCCGGCCACACCAGAGCGGTGCCGGAGAGAGGCAAGGCAGGAGCTGGCGCAGGCAGGCAGCCAGGCACTGCCTGGCCCTACGACGCGTCCCCAGGAGGGGAGCAGGCTCCTGCCGTCAGCAGAGGCTTAGGGGGAGGCTGAAATCCAGGTCACTCCCCGGCAGCTGTAGGCAGCGCGTCGCAGGCGCAGGCACAGCTGGGGTCCCCGGCGGGGGCTGCACTGCCGCGGGGGAGCTGGCGGCACTCCAGGGCCTGCGCGGCTGCCAGCTGCAGACAAGACAGCTCCTGTCCCCGGCCGCAAAGCGCCTCTTCTTGGCCCAAAGCGGCAGCCCTCTCGGGGGAAGGCTGCCGAGCGACCGCCGGGGGGGCAGGAGCGGCGGGCGGCTGGAAGGCTCAGGCTCCGTGACACACCCCGCTTTGAAGCGCCTGCCAGGGCCCCGGGGAGGGGGAGCCGCGGCAGTGGGGAGCGGCGGGGCGGGCCCCCCTCCTGCCTCCCCCCCCGCTGCCCGCGGTGCCGGGGAGCCGCACGCCGGCAGTGGGGAGTGGCGGGGGGCTGGAAGGCTCCGTGCTGCAGACACACCCCGCTTTGAAGCGCCTGCCAGGGCCCCGGGGAGAGGCTCGCTCTGCACTGACAGCCGCAGCCGAAAATCCCTCGCCGGAGGGGATGCGTTTTTTGGAGCAGCCGGCAGCCCAGGCTCGCGGCAAGGCTAATGAGAGGCCGTACAGATGAACACCATTGCCGCCATGGGGGCCTGGCTTCCTTGTCCGAGCGCCGGGGAGGGAAGGAGTCGTGCTCCCTGGCAGGAGCTGCCGCAGCACCCCAGCTCAGCGAGAGCATCCTGCCTGCCAGGCAGCGATGCCTGCGCCCGGCCCCGCAATGGCTCCTCCAGCCCAGCCGCCCCCCTGGCTAGGGGCATCACCGACCTGTGCCGTCCCTGCGTGCCGGCCCCGGCGGAGCCGTTTATCACCCCGGCAATGCGAGGTACTCCCAGCCCACGCCCCGAGCATCGGCCTCGCAGCCCCATGGCTCGTCCCGCTGTGGCCGGGCACAGACGCTGACCCTGCCCTGCGGCGTCCCTGCCTGCGGCCACCCAGGCAGGAGAACCGGGGTCTCGGCTGATCCCTGCCTGCACCCCCCGGCAGACCACGGCTCTCGCCACCCACCGTGGGAACG